AGCAGATGGAAACTAAAACCACAGTACGTCTGTGTACAGAAGCAGATTTCCTAGGATTTCCTAACAGGCCAGTGGTTAATTCCACAATGGAAATTATGGTCTGAATCAATCTGCACTTGATAGAGCAGAAGCTTTCCATGGAAAGCTGATGTTTAATTTCCTTAGAATTTGTGATGGAAGAAGACCCTCTTCTTAGGCTGTGACACAAGTCCTGGTTATCCCATAGAGTTATGGCTCCTGCATGGCCCTCTCATTATGCTGCTGTTCTCTGTTACTGTGATAAGGTTCAGTTCATACCACATTGTTTACATTTTGTATTTTCTTAATTATTATTTTTTTTCTTACACCTCTTCTAAGTGCAGTGAATTCTGCACCACCCTTGGCATCAAGGGTGTCAAGGAAGCCGTATACATCCTCTCTGTATCTCTCTGCTTGACCCTGGAAGACTTCACTGTACGTCGACACTCACAGTCCACCCTGAAGGAGCTAGGTGTATCTAGCATAAACTCTGCACGAATGCTTTCATAAATCAATATACCTCGATTTAAAACATGCACCTTTCTGGGCTGAAGAAAGCTTTTGTGAAAAGGTTGTCCTGCACCTTGGCAGGAGCAGGATATCCTGGGATTTCAGCTGATGTCCATATTCAGCTGTAGTACAAATACAGAGGTATAAAGAGACCTTGCCTTACCTAGGTCAGAGGGGAGAGGCTGCAGCAAGGACACCCCTGTTGAGGCGTCCAGGGGGAGCTGCCAGGTGAGAGACCAATTTTAAGGAAATGGCTTTTTATGAGACTGTCTTAAGTTTTGTCTTGTATTGGTCATGTTCTGCCTATCCAAGTTGATACTTTCCCTCTCAGTTGTTTGCAGCCAGAAGCACACACACATTCCTGTTACCGTGTGCCCTCCTTCTCTAACAGTGGCTGTGCACAAAAAGATCCAGAAGCTGCCTGATGAAGAGGAAGAAAGCCTGGCTCAAATATAGACCCTGTAGACTCTCTCTCAAGGTGAGTGACTGGGACCCTTGAGGCAGTCCTGAAGCACCCCTATTTCCCTCTGTCACAGTAGCTAGTGTGCACCTCCGCCCATGTATCCAGACAGGGAAATGTCTGAGAGCAGCGACTAGATTCCTCTGCAGTGTTCCCATTCAGAAGCAGCCCAAACCTACTTTTCACAGGTGCTATTTCCACCGTGGCCAAGAGAACTGGTGCATTCAGCAAGGAAGAGGTCCTCCTGTTCTGTGCTTGGGAACAGGTACAGGTACTTTGCTCCAAACCTGGTGTGGGGACAGAGCCAGGAGCCAGACTGCTACACCAGCTACTGATCAGCGGCTGGATCCGCTTTGCAGAGGCTGAGCTCAACAGGCAGCCTCACCAGCAGCCTCTACCCCTACAAAGGCATGCTGTGTATGCAGGAGACCATAGTCTCATAGCCAAGCTGCAGTCAGCTTAACCCCTCTGCTGTCCACTTTCCTGCCAGCGTCATAGGCCAGGCACCTGCAGCAAGTACCTCCTCTTCCTCCCTGGGTCTCCTTTGGGTGATGCAGGGCACGAGTGGGGTGCTGTAGCCATTGGAAGGGGCACCAGACTCAGGTCGAAGCTTTGGTCCATCAATCAAGGTCCAGGAACCTCATGCCAAAAACGCTCTCACATCCCAACCCTCCCTAGCTCCCATCCTGTTGAGCAATCCTTTGTTGCAGGAAGCCATATACAAGCAACACATCTGGTTTGGCTCTTCGTGAGGGTGAAGAAGTTCAGGGAAGAAATCCTAATCTACTACCCAAGCCCTAGCGAGGCTGGGGTTTCACCCCTCCTCCTTAGCAGCTGTTTCTTTGCACCTTTCTGCTTAGTGCTTTGCTGGTAGCCACAAACCACCTTGAGGGTCTGGACACCCTGAGGGAAGGAAGGTGCTCAGTTTCTGCGACCAAATTACACATGTGGCTCCATCTCCCTGTTCAGCAGAACATCCTCATCCATACTGACCAGAAAATTAACTAACGGTGCTCTCAACAAGCTGTGAAGATGACATTGAATGGGTGCAGACATACGAAGGTTTAGCACAAACAAAACATAGGTAATCCTCAATTCTTGTTATGTCCGTTCATATGTTTAACTGCACAGGACAAAGCTATGCTCTAACATGATGCTCAGACTCTATATCTTGCAAGCAAGATCCAAGTTATATGTTCCTGCATGGTACGGAGGCCAAACAAGGTTTTGGTGACAGCTCACCTTTTGGGAGACACAAATGCCCTGGCAGTGCCTCCAGCCTTATGTTCTCAGTGATCCGCCCCTCCGTACATGGCTGTGTCCACACCTCCCTGCCAGCCTAGCTGCTATTGCTCCTCACAATGTAAATACATCCCTGGAGCAACTCAGTGCCTTAACACTTCACAAGTACGGTCTGAAAAAGGAATTGCCTCCCTGCTCCTTTCCTGCAATGCCGTTTCAGCAAGCCACTGATGGTTATTCACCACTTGGAAGAGTGTCCTTACAGCCAAGGTGAGCAAAGCAAACCCTTCTACACAGCCTGGGGTATCCAAATCTGTTAGTGCTCATTCCTTACAAAGCGTTGGAGCACTTGGTGTGAAGCCTTTCCGGCACACACAGGGAAAGGTGGAGAGACAGTAAATCCACTGAGGACCCTGTAGAAAAGTTGGGGAATAAAACAGTTGTAAAGCTGTTCTGGGCAGTGACATGCTCTATATCAAAACTTCCTTGGCAGAGACATGCAGCTATGAAGCAGGCAGGTAGATACTGTGCTTTCCTCCTTTATTCTCTTCCCCATCCTGACGTCCTGTCAATTCGCCTTCCTGCCTACTCCCAACTCTAGTCCTGGGCACCAGCAAGCATGGAGATCATCAGCTTGTGTGAATAAAGCTCAGGGAAGTTGTATCCCCCCCTAGAAAGAGGCCCTAAAAGGAGAGTGTGAAGCCAGCGAGGTTCAGCGTTGTGCTGCCTCTACTGCATAGTTTTATGCCATGGCTTTCAAGTTATGGGTATCCTGCAAGCAGGAAGTCAGACCCCAGGAAAATGATCTTTATAGCCTCATATTCACTGATTCATAGGGATGGCAACGTGCCTTTAGCAGCCTATTTTCATCTGCAGACGAGAACATTAGAAGTGCAATAGTTTGCAGCATTGGAAAGCTCAAATCTTCTGGCCTGCAAGAGCATCTGTTTTATACTCCTTATTCTTACGAGGCCTCCTGCCAAAGAGCGTGTCAGACCACTTGCTATCACTTGATAACCTCCTCGGTTATTGAGAACAAAGTGAGGTCTGCCATGGAAGTCTAGCCATAGCTTTTCTTGTGAAAATTTTGTATTTGTTACCCTAAATGCATACAGCACAAATGGTACAGACGACTCCTACAGTATGTAGTGCCACAGACCGCTGAATAAAGCCAAGTGTCCTGGTTTGGGCTAAACCAGAACTAATTGTGTTTTGGTGCTTTAACTTTTCAGTTAAGTCTCTTCTAACTAATGGCACTTTCTGAAACAGCAGCATGTTTTTCCAGACAGTGACTGCTCCTAGCAGTGATAAGGCCTGATGTTTACAGTCAGTACCAAGGAATAGTGTGCAGAAAGGCCCTTGCTTATACTTGTTCTTATAGCAACCAAGGTCACTGCTAAATCTTGCACTCCGTGTTGGGGTGCCGAGAGTGAAAAGGGGTGCAAGCACATAAAAGGTAGCACCTGCAGGGAGGAGCGGACTGGACAGGTGACCCAAACCTGACCAACAGAGTATTCCATCCCATATACGTCATATTCAGTATAAAGCTGAGAGATCACGAGGGTCTCTCTCTCTTCTTCAATGGCCGACATCTGAGGACGACTTTGTCTGTTCTTCTGTTGTCGATCCCGCTCCGTGCATCCCTGAATCCAGTGCCTGAGTCCAGCTCCTGCATCCCGTCCCTGTCTGCTGCCGCGTCGAGCCTGGGACTGCCCCAGTGCCAGCCCTGCAGCATCAGGGGTGACATATCGTCATCAGGGTGGGGGGAATTGGGTTCGGTACTGTCTTTGTATCTATTTGTATATATTTGTACATACGGTATATATTTCCTTATTCTTATCTTTTCTTTTATTGTTATTGTTTCATTAAAGCTGTTTTAGTTTTCCAAACCATAAAGTTTCTCTCCTTTCTTCTCTCTCCTTTTCCCTTTTGGGAGGGGAGAGGGGTTAATAGAGAGCATCTGTCATTCATTAGGGGCCAGCCCAGCCTCAACCCCTGACACCAAGCTGTATGCATTCATGACCTGTTCAGCCACCGGGAAGTAAATGTGTTTGTACACCAGCATTTCAGTTTCTCAAGGACTAAATGTCCTTTGCATTTTACTTTATGAGAAACCAGTCCTCCAAACTTTATGTGCCATGTACACATCAGAAAGTAGTGGTGGTCATTTACTGGTGTATTTAGGATCAATGTAAGATAATGCAAAACCATGGAAAGCGGTGATCCAGGAATTTTTTTCCCCACCCAAACAATGTATTTCTCTTTCTTTTAGCTTCTAGCCCAGAGATCCAGGAGATTGCTCAGGAAGACTTTATCATGCTCAACGTGGTAGTAAGCCTGAATTAAAATATTAATCGAAATGTTTACTCAGGACTGGAATAAGCCGTCTTTAAAGCAGAAGTGGATTCACTTTGCACAGCCTTGAAGTTGTATTTGAAATCCTCTTTTCCCTCCCACTTCTCTGAGGATGTACAACAGGGTTTGCAAAACACCAACACAGGTCCTCCTTGGAGAGGGGCCAGGGAGACACTTCCATCTACACACTTGCTGGTATGGAAATACCATTTTGTATACTGAGAGTATTCTGATATAAGTAAAAAATACCCAGTCATCTGGCATTCTGAGTTACCCGCCTGGGGTTTCTGTCCTCATCCCCCAGCATCTAGCACGGGACAACTTGGACAGAACAGGGAAACTCCATATTTGATTACACCAGAATTGTTAGTTGTTGGTAGATGATTCAGTCCATTTCTAGTGCTTGGGCAGTTACCTGTCACTAAGAGGCCACCTAAGTCCGACAGCATTCCAGCAGCGATGACAACATGGCGCCCGATGGCCATTACGCCACTCAGATCCTCTTTGTAGGCAAGTCTCTGGGGTCAGGGGAATAATCAGGGCAGCATTTTTTTCTATATGGTCCCCACTGAATTCATGTTGCTTCAAGTAAGAGCTTTTATTCTTTATTCTGTAGGAATAACCCAGGCTTTCAAAAGGAACAGCTTAAGCGTAAAAACCCAAATTGTTTAGCAATCAGAGCTTTAATCAGGCATCCAAAACTACTATTTTTTAAATACAGGACCATGACAGTCTTATTCCACTCATGGAAACAAACAGCATGTCACTGTCATTAACTGCCAACATATATCCTTTAAGAGTTTGGTCCCGCCTGTGTGACACCAAGTCACAATATCTGAATATAGACTCTTACTCCAAGCCTGTCCTCAGATGAAAGACAAACGCTCTGTCCAAGGGCAGAGCAAAGGCCCATCAGCAACCACAACCAACAACTATACAAAACGCAAACTCACCATCAAACTGCTGGGTACAAAGGGGACAATGGGCAATCATCTTGAGCCACCAGACAAGGCTTGTACGTAGAGGATCTACTCGTGATGGGTTTCAGAAGTAGACTTCCTGCATTAACGTACAGCTGCTGAGAGCCTGGTGCTTCCAGATGTACCTTTCTGGCCATAAAAAGGCCAATCAACACTGTTTTAAAAGGCTTTTATCCTCACTAAACTATTCACCACCCCACCACTTCACAAAGCCAGAATTGCTAATAGCTCCTACTTTTCCCCTCAAGATCCTTCAATGACAAGTTCGAGCTGATCTAACTGGCAAATGTGGGAACAGGATGTACACTTATGAACCAGAAGATATTTCGACCTGTGAGTGAAATGGACACTTTACTGACCCCTTTTTAGCCATCTCAAGTTTATACAAGACCAATGTGGTTCAAGGAAGAGGGTATAAGAGAATCTTGAGAAATGCTGGATCTATTTCTGCAGTGAAAGCTGCTCAAAGCCCTTTATAAACACGAATGAAGTAAATTTAGTGCAAAAAAAAAAAAAACCAAACCAACAACCCAACCAAACACTGCTGAGTATTTCTGAAGAGTAGCAAAGCATGGGGAGAGGTGTCCTCCGCATCTGAATGAACCCTGCTGGTGGAATTTCCAAACATCATGGAAGTTTGGCCCCAAAACCCACCACTTTGGTTCAAGGCATTCGCAGACTTCAGTGCACTGCTGCTCTGCTTCACAACCTGAACCACAGAAGCTGTTTCAATACTTCTCGCCCTAGGGGTAACCAGAGTCTAAAAATACATACTCTGCGAGGACTGGAGTGAATTCCTAAGGGCTGGTGTTTCTGCACTTCCCTCTCTTGGTTGCCTACTTCACTAATACTTAAAGGACTGTATCCTTCTGAGGTCTTGATCTCCAGATCAGAGCAAGTTGGGATGAGCCAGATTTAAAAGCTGCGGGTAACAGAACAAACCCCTTTCCACAGACAAGCAGGCTAACAGCCCCCCTGCAATTCGAGTTCACAGTCCTCTCCTAGTTTTTCCACTCCAGCAGTGCACAGACTTCTGTCTGACACTCAGACAAAGCTTTGAACGTCATGGGACACCTGAAAAATGCAGAAATGAGCATCGGTACCCTCCACAAACTCCATCAGATATTATAATGGCATTCTCTCACTGGAGTACTGATTAAAACACAGCATTACAGATACTTCTGCTACCAGCAGCAGTTAACAAGATAGCCCAAGAGAAGAAAAAAATCTTCCCCCAAACCAGTGTCTTAGCATTTTCTAGAAGCCAATCGCTAATTCCAGCAAAAACCTGTTGCTGGGACAAAATAATGGGTCAAAACTACTCATTAAAATAGAAAAAGAAATATTTTTAAAGACCTTTTAGAAGTCTATCCAGAGCAGCTTTAATTTCTGACCTTAAGCTGTGTGGATGCAGGAATTTTCCCAGTCATCCTTAGTATCTTCAGTGCTTTCTCTGCAGTGACTGAAAACATGAGACAAGCGAAGCTGCTGCTGCATGCAGCACTCAGACAGGGACAGCACCAATCTGTGCGCCAACGCAGATGGAGACCATGGCCCCAGATGTGCCAAGAGACACAGCTCAGCGCCCACGTGCCATCCCTGCACCTGCCCTCACAGGCTGCTTGCGGAGAAGCCGCTGGCAGGAGAACTCAGTGCACCCCAGTGCAACAGATACCCAGAACACAGCACTGCCCGCCGATTTTTTAAGCAGTTTATCTTCATGACTTCACAATTAACAACAGAGAAAAATTTTCTTTCATAGTGTTTACAAACTTTTCTTTACTCCAATTAGCATCATTCTGAAAAGGATCCTTAGATTATAAATACATTTTCTAAGTTCATTTTGTGTGCCTACCTACTTCGTATTGTTGCAGTGATTTTTCCACAGCACAATTTCTTTTTTTTTTTAACCTGCAAGCCTCTTAGTTTGAACACTTTTCAATATAGTGAGAAAAGCATGCAGCTATACTCAATATTAAGATAGCTTTTGTATTTTTATTGCTTTGTGAATTGCCATCCTCAAGGTGAGCTTCAGAAAATTGTTTTATTATTATGTTACAACTTTTGCTGTATAATGTAAACAAGAAAAATAAAGCATCAGCCCGTTCCCTTTCCAGATTCCCTTTCCTTTTCTTCCCATTATTTTATGTGCACAGCCATAATAAAAAAAAAAAAGATACTCTGCAGAACTGAGCAAGCCCCTCTGATCACAACCTGGCCATTAACCACTTCCATGCAGCCCCCAGCCATGCACACTGAATCTATGATATGGAAATCGAGAATTCATAAACCACTGCAAGTAAATTCTGATTGGGGATTTCTACCAGTCCTCTACACTGCCCCAAAGGAAGATACACTCTGTGCGTACATTACAGCTACAGATTAATTCCTTCTGCTGTAGCACTAAGTTAATCAGCCAAGTTAAACATTTATTAAGGAACCCAACCAGGTGTCGGTTTAACAGGAACGATGGTGGCTGTAGCTACTTAAAATCCCCCCAAAAAACCCCACCCCATCACAGCCTGTCCCTGTCAGGAGTATCCAACGGGAACAAACCAAACCATGCTGGCTAACAAATATCTCTCTCTTCACGAGCACAAGGACTGGTGGGTTGGAGGAGGGTTAAGCTTCTTTAGGCATTAGAGAGGAGCCTAGGAGACAGGTACAGCAGAAGAACTACACAGTGGTCTCAGCAGCTTCTGCATGAAACACAGGAGACTGTGTGTGTTCAGAAAGATCAGCAATTCCCTGTGACCGCCCAGAAAATGGAAATGAAAGAGGAATTCGAAGACAAGGCCTGCAGCAGATAGAGCCCCTGGGAGAAGTTGCAGATGAGGCAAATAAAAGGGCAAATAAAGATCAGCCATAAGGGAAAACCCTGGGATTACCCAGAGACAGGAGGGCTGGTAGGAGCTTGGACAGAGGTGGGAGCAGTTCAGAGAGGACAGTGATGGGCTGAGCACTGACCCAGGATCCGGGCTGGTGGGAGGGGAGCATCCTGGCAGGTACCTGCGTGAGGGAGGCTGCTGGCTCAGAGGCACAGCAAAGCCTGGCCAGCAGTGCCCGCCCAGGGCTCAGATGCTGCCAAGGAGTAACCACACGCAGGAGATTAAACACGATTAATCCCTGGAACCAGCAAGTTACTTAACTGCAGTAAAACTGGTCAGCAAGGAAGCAAGCCCCATAGCCTAAGGCCAATTTTGTTTCCTGTTTTCTAAATAGGTTTCTCCCCAGTGATAAGCAAGGACATTTTAGCAAAAGCAGGTGTTCAAGCCCTACTGATCACCATCTAAATACAACCACCAGAATCAAAATCTGTTTGGGCTGCAGTTAAAGTTTACAGGAAGTCTTTGTAAGACAGGAATTTAGATTTATTGACCATGAAGCTGATGCTCTCTTAGCCTGCAGCCTCTGTGCCATCACCCACCTGTCTTAGCCACATTCCCCCATGCGCTGCTGCTCCTTCTTGGGGCTTGTACCTGCAACACCCTTCAGAATGCGATGGCTCTGCTAAGTGGCCGATGAGGGAGGACAGAAGTGAGCGAGGACTTCACTTTTTGAATGGGCCACTCCTGCTCCATAACCACTTAAGAAAACTGGAATGAGTTATGAGGAAAAAGAAAACACATAATTTTCTCATAGTCAGATACCCAGAGCTGAACACTTGCTCTAAAAGGATTGCACCAGGAGCAGAGACAATGAGAACTGTTCATTCCTCAGCAATCCGTGTTTCTTGCTCTATGCAGAGCCACAGTCCTCCAGATGACTCATGCCAGTTCTCTTGAAAAACAGGCTAGATTAATACATTTGTGCACAAACCGGGAGCTGAAATAACGGGAAGTAAATACTAGATGATGCTTTCTAAAAAAATAGGAAAAAAAAAAACAACCCACAAGCTAAAGATAAAAAGCACTTTAACTTGTATCAAAATCCCAGTTGTCCAACTGAAGCCAGGTCCTTGCACAAGGCAACCCCAGCTGGGTTGGGGCAACTTCTCGCACACCGATCGGAATGCTGTCTTAGGAAGAGATTTGAAAATTAAAGCTTAATGAAGGTTACACCCCGTGCAGTGTTAGAAACCAATTCATGCTACTCCAAATCAACGGATCAGGGGGACATACACAGACAAATCAAGCAGACATTTAGAAATGACTTTTTATTTTGTGAAGAACACTTGAAAAATAGAGATGAAAGTTTTTCCTGGCTTTGGAATATATCCATCATAAATTGTGGAATCACAAAGACTCCATTTTAAAAAAGGTGTTCCCTCTCCCCACCCCCATGTTTAATGAACTCTCTCATGGTGGAATGACCCACTATAGTTCTAAGAAAAAAAGAAAATAGGCATTTTGAGCCAACATTAGAAATAATTCAAGATTGGTTCAGTGCAGGTGCTGCTACATTACACTTTAACAAAGGCACATACTAAAACCCTCACTTTAGTGCTTGTAACCCACATTTAAATTTCTCCAAACTTCATGTTTTCAAGAAGAGACTAGAGTTAT